TACATATGCAAAAATCCTACTTAAATATTTACAAATTAATCATCAACAGAGCAAAATGGCAACCCATAGAATGGAAGAAAAGATTCACAAATCCCATATTTGATAAGGGATTAATATCCAGAATATATAAGTAACTCCTGCAACTCGACTGAAAAAGAAAACAAAACCCAAGCAACCAAATTCAGAAATAAGCAAAATACTTTGAACAGACATTTCTCCAAAGCAGAGACACGCGTGACCAATAAGCACAAGAGATGTGCTCGGCACCCTTGGTCATTAGGGAGACGCCGATCCAACCACCTCACACCCAGGAGGGTGGTTACCGTTAGACAGACAGACAGACAGAAAATGCCAAGCGCTGGGAGGGCCGCAGAGAGGCTGCGCGTGCTGGGAGGACCGCGGGACGGCGCGGCCACCATGGGAAACGGGGCGGCGACTCCCAAAGAGTGAAAAACAGAATCGCTGTGACCCAGCGACGCCCCAAAGCAATCGAAAGCGCGAGTCACACAGACAGTTGCCCCTCTACGTTCACAGCAGCGAAAACGCAGAAACGATCCAAAAAATCCAACGGATGAGTTAATAAACAAAATGTATTACACACATATAAAGAAATATTTAGCCCTAAAAAGGAAGGAAACTCGGACGCATGCGACAGCCCGGGTGAACCCTGAGGACACCGTGCTAAGTGCAGAGCGCCACCCACGAAAGGAGAAACCCCGTCGGCTCCCCCCACACGAGGCCCCCAGAGGGTCCGAGTCGGAGCCGGGAGGGTTCCAGCTGGGAGGCGAGAGCGGACGACAACAATGTACTGAATCATCACTGAGCTGCACACTGAAAATGGTTAAAATGATAAATTTTATGTTATATGTATTTTACTACAATTTTTAAAACTCAACCAAAAATACTGAGGAAACCCCATGTTCATAAAATAATACTCTTCTAAATAACTGAAAGGCAAAGGAGAGGCACACAGTGGAATTCCGAAAACTGAGTGATAATGAAAAATACAATATATTATTAAATGAAGCTAAAGCCACGCTGGGAGGGACATGTATCACTTTAAATTCATTTCTTAGATAAAAAGACTGAAAAATCAATGAACATGCATCCCAGGAAGCTGGAAGAAGAACAGCAAGTTGAATTAAAGGGAAAAAGTCGAAGGAAACACAACTTTTAAATAAAATTAATTTTAAAGACACAGCACTGGGTATGTGACATGCAGCATGGCGACTCGACCTGCCCGTCTGAAAGCTGCTACGAGTAGGAGTCTGTAGCTGGGCACGGTGACGGGTGTCGGCTAGCCCTGTGGCGGTGACCATTTCACTGCACCGTCCCAGTTCAGCGAGCCGCAGTCTTTTGCTCGCGGAGGGTCTTGCCTCCAGTTTGTAAACACGCAGCATCCGTGAGGCTCAGGACACGCAGGCGCGCCGCACAGTCGGCCACGCGAGCAAACCGTGAACACCTGAGACCAAGAGCGCGTCAGTTATGCCTCCGCTTTCAAAATACAAGAGAAAACAAGAACACGATGCTGAAAGTCAATCAAGTCAGAAGGTGGTTCTTTAGAAAAATCGACAAACCTCACAGTGATTAAGAAAAAGGTCAAATTCTAATAACTGAAGTCGGAAGTGAAACGGGGACTTCATGACACTACCGCTGCCAAAAACACGCTGCGCGGGCCTAGACACGCAGAAGCCATCCGACGAACCTGGGCTGAGGGACAGTTACAGGGACAACGGGCTGATGCTTCGGGGTTCCAGTGTCATGACAAATTCAGTCCCCAAAACTGCCCTCGAGTGAAGGAGACAGAGACCTCTCGGCCAAACACAACATGTGATCCTGGACCGTGGAAAAGTTGCCGTGAGAGACACTGAGACAACTGGCAGGTTGCGAGCGAGGCCCGCGGGCGGCCGTTCACCACCAGGAAGCCTCCCAGCTGCCGGCCCGACCTGTCGCGTGACTGCCCTTGCTAGTTTTATTATTTTTTAAATCAGACTTGCTATTTTGATTTTACACAGGAGAAAACAACGAGTAGATTAATTTCATTAATTAAATACAAACAGAGAAGGAAAGAACACATGCAGCCTGAGAACAGTGAGCTTTGGGGTTTTTCTTGGGTTAGCAACAGAGCCGATCAAGATAGTCACAAGCCAGCCACTTCGCCCACTTTCAGATTCCCTGGAATGCCCCTTGTGTCATGCCGATGTCACCCAGTTCGTCTTTGAGCACCTCTTGCATCTGGCACAAGATGGGACTGGGTATCCTCGTACTTTTCCTGCCCAGACCTGGATTCAGCCATTTTTTTAGGGTCCCCACACTCCTTTCCGTTGGGGAATGGACAGTATTTAGAAGACAAATTCTGAGCGCTCGGGGGGCTCACTGCCGCTGTTATCTCTAGGCCTTTCCAATGGAGAGTGGGAAAATACGCCTGCGCTTTCAAGTTCAACGCCACTGGGTCGGTCAGTGAGCTATTGACTGTGAGGCTAATGAGCTCCTTCTAAGGTTCTACACCGAGTTATGCACTATTTCTAAATTTCCCTTAAAGAGACCCCCCAGAATTACATAAGCCTCACGTCTCACAAGCACTATCCATCGCTGGACCCCTGGGCCCTCACACAGGGCCTCCCTCACGTTCTGCAGCACAAGTCCTTATAATCTTCCTCCACAATGAAAACCTGATTCCCAAGACCAACCCCCCCCCCCTCTTCCTCAAGGACCAGAATCAAAGCAAAAGTTCACAAATCCCTTTTTTTTTTCCATCCTGGGATCATTTTAAACAAGTGACCTGGGTCATGGTCCCTAAGAGGAGTCCAAGAATCTAAAACAAATTTGCCCACTGACTTCGAATTTTTTCATTTCAATATAGCACCTTTTTAAAAACAATGTATTGGGGTGACATTGGTTAATGGTTATATAGGTCTCAGGTGTACACGTCCCTAACACGTCATCTGTGTGTTGTATTGTGTGTGCACCACCCCAAGCCAAGTCTCCTTCAGTGACTGTCCTTGTTCTTAGGAAGTCCACACCGGGCACAAGGGGACATCATGTCTGCAACCTACTCACATACCTCAGGTTCAAATGGATCCCGGGCAGAGTCCGGCACTTAGTTCTAAGCTGGAGGATCTTTAACTAACCGGCCTGCTCCCTGTCAAAGCTCAGGTCTGGGCCTTGACTCTCTCCTCCCGGGAAGACCTCTGACCCAGGAGAGCTCCTTGAAGCCCTGGAGTGCACAGGGCCTTGGCTCAGAGCCTGGGCCCTTCGGCTGTGAAATGGACAGTCTGGCCGAGGCTGTGGACAGAGCAAGGTCCACCCGAGAAGCAGACACCCGGCTGGGGCTGCCCCTTGGAAAACAGGCCCGTTCCCTGGGCTGGGCCTCTGCGTCCAGCCGCTTGCCCTGGGAGAGCCGTGGCTCCAGCTGGCTGCCGTCGGCCTTTGAGACCCAGGTGCTTTTCAGCAGGTAGGATGCCAAGTGGGCCTGAAGGCCTCTGGGCCTGGACGCCAGGCCAGGAGGGGCCAGGGCCCTGAGCAGGGAGAGCTGGATTCCCAGCCTGCCTGTCCCCCGCCTGGGACTAAGGCTCTGGTTGGGCTCCCTCTGTTCCCCTGTGAGTCCCAAAGTCCCCCCCTGCCTCCATACTACCTGAAAGAAGGGCCCAAAGCCGATTTCAAGCACTCACTTGTTCCCTCACCCCCCTGGGCCAGGAGGTGTCACGGAGCCACCTGAACAACCTCTCCCTGCTGTTTGCTGGGGTCAGTGACTCAGGAAGTAACAGACCTGCTCCCAGGTGAGGTGGGTCAAACCTGGCTGTTCCTGGGGAGAAGCTCTGAACCCCACCCGACTCCCCCCACTTTCAGCTTGCACCTGAGCCCAGGGCAGGGACAGGGGCCCCCAGGAGCCCCACAGAGGGCATCAGCGGGGCGCTTACCTAGGAGGAGGTGCAGTTCACCCAGCGGTGGGCCCAACTCTGGAGCCAGCAGACGCTCCACGTGATCCCGCCCACGAAAGGGCGTCATTATCAGGAGACCCTCACCTGTGCCCCGCACAGCGCCCCGCCCACTCGTGGGCGCCAGCCCGCCCACAGGTGATGGAAATCAGGGCCTGAATTCCTGCGAGCAGCTCCTCTCTGCCCTGCACGGCCCTCTGCCCTCCATGCCCGGCTCTGGGACACCCAAGGCCAGGTGCTGGCACAGCAAGTGCACCAAGCAAGCCTCTTGCAAGGGAGCCTTTGCCAAGGCGCAGGGGCACTGCCCGCCGGGAGTCTCTGATCCAGCCAAGGTCAAGGCCAGCCTCGCAGCGCAGAGCCCTGGAGAGGGTGCAGTGGGCTGCTGGAGGCTGCTTTCTTGGTGGGGGTTGGGGAGCACACTGGGCCTGGCACAGAAATCCACATTTGGTGATGGCTGGTGTTGCTCAGTGCCCATTTGATGGTGGCTCCAAATGGGTCATCTCTCCGTTGTCCTCCCTTCCAGAGGCCTCACAGCCATGACAGGGCATCACCGACCTTCCTGCTCTGCAGAGGGCTGCCCATCTCCTTTGAAATGTTTGCCTTTTTCCTCTCTTTGGCTCTCTTTGCTCCCCTCCCTGGGCCACAGCGATTGAGAGCGTGGGCTCCAGCTTGTGGCACCCTGGCCTGAAGCCAGCCCTCCTGGTACCAGGACCCAGGCTCAGAGCTGGCCCACAGGGAGCACTCAGGAAGGAAGCAGAAGGGATGCCTCTGAGTCTCCACTTCCGCACATGGTGCCCTCTACAAGCTTTGCTCCTTCCCTGGCCCCCTCCTGGCCTACCTGGCACCCTTCTTCCTCCAGCTGAGGCCAGTGGGCACTCTCCCAGACACCCACCCTGGCCTACTGGACCCAGCTCCTTATTTGCCTGACCTGTGTCAACCTGCCTCTTCCTGGAGCTCTCCCTGGGCGGAGTCGGACACACGGACAGACACACACATGGTGGCGGTTGTCAGCCGAATGAAGGACCATCTTCCCTACCCAGCAGCACACGGCAAGGACAGGAGGTTCTGAGGCTCAGGGCCAGGTGTGCTTTATTACTTAGTTAGTTCCCACACTTGACTGTCCCAAAGCCGGAACCAGAACACCCACATGCCCTCATTTGTACTTTACAAAGAACAGGCCACCACAGCCTCCCTGAGACAGCCCCAGAGCCTGAGAGCACAACTGCTAGTTCGAGAACTGGTCATCCTGGCCCCCACCCACTCCTCCTCCTGACCTCTGACCTCAGGGAAAAGAGCAGACACTGCCGAGACCCAGGCCCACCTGGTCTCCTGCTGAGCACCAGGGCCCATGGGAACTAGGGAGCCCCAAAGTGGTCACTTAGTCCTTCCCATGGCCCTGCCTTCAAAAGGGCATGTCCCCTTGGATGAAGAAAACAAGGCACAGTCGTGAGGGGGGAGCGATGCCAAGGAAGAGTTTGCGGATGGGTGTCCTAGACACAGGTCGCCGACCCCTCGCCTCGCCTTCTCTGACACTTGCTCCCATGCACTATGGTCTGGGGCAGGCAGAGGTCCATACCAGAAGCGCTGGGGCCAGGGTGGCCCTGGTAGGAGGTAGCTTGGCCCCTGCCTGTCTCCCCGGTGTCTGGGAGTCAGGGTTAAGGCCACGTGGCTCCCACTCCCTTTCCCACAGTCCTTGGCCAGCCCGGCTCTGGGTGGGGCAGTAGTCAGCCCTGATGAGGGGCTCAGCTCCGGTAGCTCTTGAGCAGGTGCCCTGCGATGACCAGTCTCTGGATCTCACTGGTGCCTTCATAAATCTCGGTGATGCGGGCATCTCGGTAGTGCCGCTCAGCCGGCATCTCCGTCACGTAGCCCATGCCACCCAGGATCTGAATGGCCTAAGGTGAAAAGCAGGGGCTCAGGAGACAGAAGACCCCCCCACACTAGGTAAAGACGGGCAGGATGAGCCACACAACAGGATGGGCTGGGGGAGGGGCAGCTGATACTACGACTCAACACCTGGGGCCTGGCCCAGGCACCACGTTGTGCACTGGGGATACTCACCTGGTGGCTGATGGCAGTTGCGGCCTCCGATGCAGCCAGCTTGGCCATCGCTGCCTCCTAACCACAGGGGATGGTGGGGTCAGAAACATTACCTTGGGGGCAGCCCCTAGCACATGACCCCTCAGCAGGGGCAGGCCTTGGAGAGCCTCCCCTTGGAGCAATAGGAACTGGTACCCCACCCAGGCTTCTCCCTCAGTCCCTTGGCCCACCAAAGGGCCCATGCTGGGGGACCCCCTCCCAAGAGCACCTTGGTGAAAGGCTTCTTATTGTCCTTCAGCATGGCAGCGCGCCAGGTCAATAACCGGGCACTTTCCAGGGCCAGGGCCATGTCCGCCAGTTTGAACTGCAACAACCAGGCACCAGCCCACCAGTCAGTAGTTGCCCCTCCCTCTCTCCAAGGACAGGGGGGAGGAGACAGGGGAGCATAGGAGCAGGTAAAAGCTCGTCTGCCCAGAGTTCCCTCCCCAGTGTCCAGGTTAGGCTCCTGAGTCTCCACCTTGTTACCTGGATGCCCTGGAGCTTGGTGAGGGGCGCCCCAAAGGCCCTGCGATTCTCGGCGTAGTTCACAGCACAGTCAAGGGCAGCCTGGGCGATGCCCAGAGCCTGGGAGGCAATGCCAATGCGCCCCATGTCCAGGGTTTGCTGTGGGGAACACCCGTCAGTAGCAGGCCAGCTGGGCGCCAGGGCCTGACCCAGGGCCCCACCCCGCTGCCGGGCTCACCATGGCTATCTTGAAGCCCATTCCCAGCTCCCCCAGCAGGTTGTCCTTGGGGATGCGACAGTCCTCAAAGATGAGGTTGGCCGTGGATGAGGCCCGGATGCCCAGTTTGTCTTCCTTCTTCCCCAACGAGAGCCCAGGCGTTGGCATGGGAACCAGGAAGGCACTGATGCCCTGAAAGAGCAGAAAACCCACTGCCTTTCCCAGAGGCGGCCCTGGGCCACGCCCCTCACGCAAACCACCCAGGCACGGCCCCGCCCCTTCTCCTGCCCTCAGGACCTCGGCCGTGACGCCCTCTGCCGGCTACTCCGGGGAAGGTGCAGACACCAGCCCGGAGAACGTCAGGCAGGGGAGAAAAAGGGGGGAGCTCCAAGGTGCACCGGGGCAAAAAGAGCTCCAAGGCCCAGGAGATTTGGATTTAGAAACTGAAATGACTGTAGCCCAGAGGTCTCACTGGCCCTCTCTGGGGTCCCCACCTTGTGGTGCAAGGATCTGTCGGTGCTGGCGAAGACCACGGTGGCTGAGGCCTCCCAGCAGTTGGTGATCCAGGCTTTGGTGCCATTCAGGACCCACGAGTCACCCTCGGCCCGGGCAGTGGTGGACGCAGCTCCCGCATCACTGCCATTCCCTGCCCCGCAGGCAGACTCGGAATCCAAGGCCACCTCCACCTCCCACCACCCAAGGACATAGCTGCCAACTCAGCAGTGAACCCAATCTCAACCCCCAGCTGGTGAGCACGACCAGGCTCCAAAGAGTCTGGGTCTGGGCCCTGAGAGGCAGCTCCCAAAGCATGCAGAATCGAGGGGGGCGGCGGGATAGTCATGCAGCAGCTTCAGGCCAATAAAGGGACCCCAGGGCCAAGTATCCCTCCCAGTTCAGCTGAGGTGACCACCCAAGTCGGCACAGGCCCTAGCTCCTGCCTCTCCGTGGGAGGCAGCCAGCTCCAGTCTGGCTCTTGTCACCCTGAGTCTGAGGTGAGGGGACAGGGAGACGGCTGTTTCACTGTGATACCTGGTTCACTGAGGGCAAAGCAGCCAATTTTGTCGCCGCTGGTGAAAGGCGTGATCCACTTCTGCTTCTGCTCCTTGGACCCAAACTTCAGGATGGGCCCCAAGTAGAGGGACTGTGGGGACAGAGGGAAGGAGTCACAAGCCTTCAAGCCCAGGCACACCTGCCAGCCCATGGATCCCTCCGCAAGGGATCCTGTTGTCTCCAGAGCAGTAAAGACCAAGTCCAGAGGAGGTCAAGAGGTGGGAACCAGGGTCTGGATGTTGGGACACATGGCCGAGTGCCTGTTGGTCCATAGGAGTCCAGGAGGGGAACTCACATTGTTGACACTCATGATGACTCCAGTGGAGGCACATCCCCGGCTGATCTCCTCCATGGCGATCGAATAGGCCAGGTAATCAAGGCCAGCACCACTGAACTCCTCAGGCACGTCCATGGCCAGAAGCCCAAGTGCGCCCATCTTCTTCACCTGGTCTCAGGGAAGGATGTCACGGCAATGGCAGCCAGGAGCCAGTGCCTGCCCTCAGCACACCTCATTCAAGCGACCCTGTCCCACACTCTGCACTGGCTCACCTCAGTTTGCGGCCACAACCAATGAGCAGGCAGAAGGCACAGGACGCCTTTAGGAGCCTCCCAAGATGAGCAGCATGGCAGCATAGTACCATAGTGACCTTCTTTCAGTCCCTTAAGCACACCACATCACACACATTCCCTCTCCCAACCACAGGGCCTTTGCACATGTGGTTCCCTGTCAGTAATGACCTATATCAGCTAGGTATTATCTCCTCCTCCCCTTTGGCTCTCAGCTCAAGCACCACTTCTTGGGGCCGCCACTTCTGCCTTTACTAAGTCAAATCCTGTCATCACACACTCGCCGCACCTGTGCTTGTCCTCTGCAGTGATTCTGCAGCGGGAATGTCACCTATTACTGTGCTCGTTTTGATTAAGGGCTTCTCCCTGACCAGGAAGGCAGACTGTGTTTTTGCTCACCGCTGTATTCCCAGTGGCAGTGAGAGAATGCATGAACGGTAAGAACTAGGGATTTCTGATTTAGAGTAATGGTAATAGTAATGGTGAACTATCAAGCGCCTGTCTACAATATGCCAAACTCTGCGTAAGTGCTTCGTGTGTACCCTTTTGTTTCAATCTCTTTATGAGAATGAGGCTGAATTACCCTCACATCACAGGTGAGGAAAACGAGCGTGTACAGGAGACAACAGATCGATGTTTCCCTAACATCAATGTTTCTCTCACTCTATCCCTCTCTCTCCCCCCCTTCCTCTCTCTCTAAAATTCAATAAAAATATATCCTCAGGCCTGGCCAGTGTAGCTCAGTGGTTGAGCATTGACCTAGGATCCAGGAGATCACGGTTCGATTCCCAGTCAGGGCACATGCCCGGGTTGCGGGCTTGATCCCCAGTCGGGGGCGTGCAGGAGGCAGGCGATCAATGACTCTCATCATTGATGTTTCTATCTCGTCTTCTCCCTTCCTCTCTCTGAAATCAATAAAGACATACTTAAAAACAACAACAACAAACAAACAAACATATCCTCGGCCATAGCCTGTTTGGCTTGTGATTAGAGTGTCAGTCTGAGGACTGACAGTCCCAGGTTCAATTCCAGCCAAGGGCATGTACCTCGGTTGCAGGCTCGATCCCCTCAGGGCTCACGTTAGAGGCAACCAGTCGTTGTGTCTCTCTCACATCAATGTTTCTCTCTCTCTCCCTTCCAATCTCTCTGAAAAGCAATGGGAAAAATATCCTCAGCTGAGGATTTAAAAAAACAAAAACCCCACGTGTCCTTAGGTGAGGATTAAAACTGGCACGAAAGACCAAAAAGGTTTACACTGTCACCAGTCTTTTAGTCAACAAATATCTACTGAATATATCATATACCAGACCTCTTGCCAGGCTTGGGGATACAGTGGAACCACCTTAAACCTGTAACCACAAATGTCAACAAATAGAGAACACGATAGCATGGGAGGGAGCATTCTGACTGGGATCTGAGTCTGGCCGAGGACAGACTTGGGTGGGAGCCCTAGCTCTGCAGTTCGCTGGCTCCATGACCTTGGGCACATTACTTGATCCTCTCACCAATTTGAGTTTCATCAACTGTACGTGTAACAGTAGTACCTTCACCTCACTGGACTGTTGTGAGAAAGAGATGAGCTAAAATTCCCAAGCACTGAGAACAGTGCCTAGCACATGGCAAGCGTGCTTCAGCTTTGAATATTATTAGCACAATGCCTGGCACATAGAAAGCACATTGACCATCCACCATTATTATTGTTATACCAAAAGTTAAATCCTGGCTACAGCCCTCATGCTGGACAAGGGAAACTTCCAGAGCATTTTCTGGGTCCTAAGATCCGCCTTAGGGTTCCCTGACCGGAGTCTCAGTGTCATTGGCTGTCACTGTCACCACTCATCGAGGAGGCGAGGGCAGACCTCCATCCTGGGCTGCTGAGGTTGGTACTCTCACCTGAGCCGCTGGGAAGCGGTGTTCCTTGTCTAGCTGGGCCGCGATGGGAACCAGCTCCTTCTCAGCAAAGTCCCGGCACGTCTGACGCAGCATCTGGTGTGTCTCGGGCAGTTCCACAGACTGGTAGATAGTATGCAACTGACGACGCAGAGCTGCCAGCAGGAAGAGTGGGGCTCAGTGAAAGGAGAACCCAAGAGGTCTTGCATATTAATAATAACATAACAGTGATCCCCAGTGGTTCTCAGGGATGGTTTTGCCTCCCAAGGGACGTCTGGCAATGTCCGAAGACATTTTTGGTTTTCACAACTGAAGGGGGAAATGGTATTGGTATGGAGTGACAGACACCAGGGATGCAGCTAAACATCCTACAATGCACAGGACAGTTATCCGCCCAAAATATCAACAGTGCTGCTGTTGAGAACCCCCCTAATAACTGTTTACAACGCTGGCTGAACACTGCATACACTATCCCCCTCAATCCTCAGTATACTGCCGATGATACGAGCACAGCTCTGTGACCTTAGGCGAGGATCTTAACCTCTCTGAGCCTGTTATATTCACTGTGGAGGCCAACAGTATTGAGTATCTGGGGATAAAAGGGTTGAAAAGGTACTAATTGTAGCTAAAGCACGTGGCCTGGCAGAGACGGCTCTCAAGGAGGGTTCCCTTTATTTTATTACTCGGGGTGACTGGGTCTCACCAGGCAAAGGAAGCCCTGGCCCTGGGTGTCACCGCAGCTCCAGCTGGCTTGAAACGACGAAATGGGAAAAGAGGCGGCATTTCCTGAGTACCTGCTACATGCCAGGCACCGTATTCAGTGTTTTACACACCCTGTGATTTAACCCTTACACCTCTACGAGGCCAGGAACACTACGGCGTCGTGGCGGTCCTTGTACACACGGGCCAGTCGGGGCTCAGGCGGCTGTGTCTCCGCCCCAGGCCGAGCTCCGTGGGGAGGGCGCGCCCTGAATCTCCGCTGGGGGCGAAGCAGGGGAGGCGACGGCGAAGCCGCGGCGAGGACGGGGCCGGGGTTGGGTGTCCGAGCTGGCGCGTGGGTCGCTACGGGGCCAGACTGCGCAGGCGCGCGGCGCAACCGAACTGGGGCAAAGGTCACCCACGCTCC